AGAGGGTCACTGACCACCGCACTCAGGCCTGCGAGGAGTGGCTGGTGGCTGCTCTCCCCCACTTCCGTGGGGTTGGGTGGCCAACGTGGGTGGGGCACCATCAGGGCATCCCCGCCTCCTCCCCACTGTGCTTCTGTCCTGGCCCTAGGCCAAGGGGTGGGGCTGGGCTGCTGCCACAGGCTGCCCTTATCAGTGGTAAATGGGACACCTGGGTACCCTGAGTATAAACAGGACCAGTCACCCCAGCCTTCCTGGCTCTGCCCAGGACACCTGCTCCTTCTTGCCCTGCTCTCAGCTAGAATTGCAGGGAGTCCCTGGAAAGCGCCACACATGCTCTTATCTCCAAGCTGTGGTATGTGCCATTTCCTCTATCCACCCCTGCCCAACCCTTACTTATTCTGGTCAGCTTAGGTACCCTTCCTCCAGGAAGCCTTCCCTGTCCCCTCCTTCTCCCTGCCAGAAGAGTTAAGGACCCCTGAGTTCTTCTGAATACCCCTCCCATCCCCGCCTGTCACACTTATCCCACTGCATTGCAGATGCCCATTTTCTTGGCTGCCTCTGGTTCCTCAGGGTACTGGCACTGAAATGTAGAATATCAGAGGTGAAGGAGCCCCCAGAGATCATCTGTCCCAACCCCCTTCTAACATGCAGGAAGCCCAGAGGGGGTCACACAGTGCATCATGGCAGAGCTGAGACCAGATCTGTTATCCTAGTCACCTCCTCATTTCACAAACAAAAAACGGAAATAAAAATCACCCAGAGATAATCACTGTTAATGTTTCTTTTTCTTTTTCTTTCTTTTTTTTTTGCATTTAGCACCGGTTTCTAGCCTATGCACAAAAATGTTTAACAAGATTGTGACCACACGTACAAACTGTTTTATAAATTTTTTTTTTTTTTTTTTTTTTGAGACGGAGTCTCGCTCTGTCGCCCAGGCTGGAGTGCAGTGGCCAGATCTCAGCTCACTGCAAGCTCCGCCTCCCGGGTTCACGCCATTCTCCTGCCTCAGCCTCCTGAGTAGCTGGGACTACAGGCACCCGCTACCTTGCCCGGCTAGTTTTTTGTATTTTTGGTAGAGACGGGGTTTCACCGTGTTAGCCAGGATGGTCTCGATCTCCTGACCTCGTGATCCGCCCGTCTCGGCCTCCCAAAGTGCTGGGATTACAGGCTTGAGCCACTGCGCCCGGCCTATAAATGTTTTTGACTTTGACAATTTATATGGTAATTATATTTCTATGTCAGTACATGTCCTTCTTCAACATATTGTAAATGGCTGCTTAGGATTTCATCGTGATGCTTGTATTATAATTTCCCTCTTTTTTTTTTTTAGATGGGGTCTCGCTCTGTCGCCCAGGCTGGAGTGCAGTGATGTAATCTCGGCTGACTGCACCCTCCGCCTCCCAGGTTCAAGTGATTCCCCTGCCTCAGCCTCCTGAGTAGCTGGGACTACAGGTGTCTGTCACCATGCCTGCCTAATTTTTGTATTTTTAGTAGAGATGAGGTTTCACCATTTGCCCAGGCTGGTCTTGAACTCCTGACCTCAAGTGATCCACCTTCCTCGGCCTCCCAAAATTCTGGGATTACAGGCATGAGCCACCACGCCCGACCCTTGTGTTACAATCTCCCATTGTTTGGGATTTGCTGTTATAAGCAGCAGTAGGATTTGTGTTCTTGTGCAGACATCTTTACACACTTGTGCAGTAATACCTCTAGGATAAATTCCTGGAAGTGCAGCTGTTGGGTCTGAGGCATGCTGTACCCATGCCAAGCACATCGTGTGGTCTTGGGGCTGGAAGGGATTTCAAAGATCTTTACCCCCTAGGCTGGGCTCAAGCCTTGAAGTCCCCCCGGCCTCTTTAGCCCTGGCTCTTACACCTTCCATCTAGACCTGGGCAACTCTCCTGCTAGCTTTGAGCCGCTGTGACTGATAGAAAATTGCTCCTTGGGGACCAGGTGTGGTGGCTCATGGCTATAATCGCAGCAGTTTGGTAGGCCAAGGCGGGCGAATCACCTGAGGTCAGGAGTTCGAGACCAGCCTGATCAACATGGAGAAACCCCATCTCTACTAAAAATAAAACATTAGCTGAGCGAGGTGCTGCATGCTTGTAATCCCAGCTACTCAGGAGGCTGTGGCAGGAGAATCACTTGAACCCAGGAGGTGGAGGTTGTGGCAAGCCGATATCACACCATTGTCCAGTCTGGGCAACAAGAGTGAACTCTGCCTAAAAAAAAAAAAAAAAAGAAAAGAAAGTTGCTCCTTAGGTTGCTGGGAAATCTCACTTTTTGTGACTTCATTACTATTTAAGGGAGACTGGAAGGCTGTGCCTGGGGTTGCTGTTTGGGATGAGAGAATTGGGGCCTTTGTGTCGGGTATGTGGGTCTTCATTAACTCTTTCCAGTGAGACGAGTCCAGGAGGCATGGCCTGGGTGCGGGGGGTTCAGGCTGAGGGGGAGGCTGGAACTGAGAGTTTTGGCTGCCTGGGTGGACAGAAGGTCCAGGGCAGGGGAGGCCTCCCCTCTGCATCCTGTGGCAGTATAGCGATCCTCAGGAAGGCTGTTTGGTCACCTGTTGTCCTGGGCTGTTGTGTGCACCTGTGGGTACATACCCCGAGGATGAGAGATGCCTGGTTACATGAGGGGCAAATATGACAGCTGCCATGTTTCTTGTGTCAAGCTCCTCAGACACATTTACTTAACGCTCAGCTACAGCCATGAGCTGCGGGGGTGCTGGTGTTACAGATGAGCTCACTGATGCTCGGACGGTGTAATGGTCACCTGGGGCCTTCTCACACTGATAAGTCACACATGCCTCGCAGCCCGCTAATGAATCCTGGCTTGGCTTCGTTCTGAGCCTTCATTCCTCGGATGGAGACTCAGTCTTTCCATCTATCAGATGGGGCTGCTGGGCTCATTCAAAGAGAGCAACAGGTTAGGAAGGGAATGGAATATGGCGAGGATGTGGTATTCAGTCGTGATTTAGAATTCTACCTCTAGTTCCCAGGCTGTGCAAATGTTTATCATCTCTCCCCATCCTTCCTGCTCTTGGATTTTCCTTGGCCTAGTCTTGGACTCTGATAATGATCAAAAATAGCAACTCCCATTTGTGGATACCATATGCTAGGTACTGCTCTAAGTTATTTACAAATGTTGTTGGACTTAATCCTCCAACCCCTCGTGAGATGGGTTCATATTATTTATTGTCTGCCCCATTTTACAAGTGGGGAAATGGGGGCTTAGAGATATTAAAGAGCTTGCTGCAAATCATGCAACCTTGGTTTAGCAGCCGTACTTGCACTTGGGCACTCTTAGGTCACCTCCCATGTGTCCACAGTTAGCTGAACCCTGAAGCCCACACTCTGACGCTCCTGTTCTCTCCACTCTCCACAGCCTTAGTCCCGTGGGCCTCAAGGAGTGAGCGGCATGCGGCACCCCCAGGCCTGCCCAGTGTCCTCTGGCCTGCTGCCCTGCACCCCCAGAAGGCCCTGACGCCCTGGGGCACTTCTGCTCTGCACAGGACCACGCGGGGGTTTGCCATGGTGACATAAAGGGGCGCGGAGGAAGGAAGGAGCGTGACCAGCCTGTGGACTGCGCCCCTGGCTGGGAGGAAGGACTGGGGGCCCAGATCCTCCACTCCCAGTGCCCCACAAGGGCCTTGCTTCCTAAGTCTCTGTGAATTTGTTGGTCAGTGGACGATTCTCGTGTCTCCTCCTGTGTGGGGCCTTGGGGTAGCCAGGGCAGGCCGGGCCTCCGGTGGCCAAGGTCTCGGAGGCCAGGATGCCTGCCCTGGCATGCCTCCGGAGGCTGTGTCGGCACGTGTCCCCGCAGGCTGTCCTTTTCCTGCTGTTCGTCTTCTGCCTGTTTAGCGTTTTCATCTCGGCCTACTACCTATATGGCTGGAAGCGAGGCCTGGAGCCCTCGGCGGATGCCCCCGAGCCTGACTGCGGGGACCCGCCGCCCGTGGCCCCCAGTCGCCTGCTGCCGCTCAAGCCTGTGCAGGCAGCCACCCCTTCCCGCACGGACCCGTTGGTGCTGGTCTTTGTGGAGAGCCTCTACTCGCAACTGGGCCAGGAGGTGGTGGCCATCCTGGAGTCCAGCCGCTTCAAATACCGCACAGAGATTGCGCCGGGCAAGGGTGACATGCCCACGCTCACTGACAAGGGCCGTGGCCGCTTCGCCCTCATCATCTATGAGAACATCCTCAAGTATGTCAACCTGGACGCCTGGAACCGGGAGCTGCTGGACAAGTACTGTGTGGCCTACGGCGTGGGCATCATTGGCTTCTTCAAGGTACACAAGAAGCAGGGTCCTTTAGCAGTTCGGAGCCCCCTCTCCAGACTCACAGCTCAGTGCCTGACTTCTCATCTGTGAAGTGGGTGTAATGGTAGCACCCGCCTCCCGGGGTTGTTGGGAGGGTTAAATGAGTGAGTATAGGTAAAGCACTGGGAGCCTGTGGTGCCCACTGCCTGGCAAGTGCTTAGTAAGTATTAGGGGAGCGTGCCAGGGGGATCGCCTGCTGTGCATGGGGTCCAGCACACAGCAGGTGCTTGTGTAAAGGAGGCCACAGGGATAAGTGTGAAGTCAGAGGGGCATGCTCTGCTAGGTGCCCCAAAACCTGTCAAGGCAACCTCCCCTAGGGAGGGCGTGTGCACCCATATTTCAGATGAGCGAACCAAGGCTCTGGGGGTTAAGTTACTTATGTAAGGTTATGCAGCCTGTAAGTGGGGAAGCCAAGATTTGAAACTAGACATGGATAGTTTGGGCTCTCTATCCCATGCTCTTTCCTCTTGGTGGTGGTGGAGTACGGCGTTAATGTACCTCCTGACCCAGAGCCATTTTGCATGAGGAGAAAGAGAAGAATGAAATCCCGCTGGGCAGATGGGGAGCTGCTCTGGGCTTTATGGGGCTCCCAGAATGACCGCTGGGATTGGGGTCCTTGTAGAAAGGGTGTCACAGAGAATCTGTCCTTGGGGCGGGGAGGTTGGGAATGGCGGGGGATCCAGAGGCTGTGGTCAGAGAAGTCTGACCTGCAAGATGAAAACAGACACTAGTTGGGACTCTAGTTGGATGCTTTGGAGGTGGCAGGGAATTTGTTCCTTCATTCAACAAATATTTACTGAGCACTCACAGTGTTTGTGGTCCTGTGCTAGTGGTGATCGAAGTAGTCAAAGTTCCTGCTGTCATGGAGCTGGCATTTCAGTGCTGTGGTAGGGGGTGGGTGACAGGCAGTGAGCAAATAAACACAGGATGGGGCAGGTGTGATCAGTACAAAAAGCAACAAAGCAGGGAAAGGGCACAGAGGGCAGTGGGGGTGGGAGTTTGACATTATTTTGGGAAAGTCGTCTTTGATAAAGTGACCTGAAATAAGTGAAGGGAGGAGCTCTGTGGCTTTCTGCGCAAAGAGCCTTCCAGGAAGAAGGGACAGTAAGTGCACAAGTCCTAAAGCAGCCTCTTGCTTGGTGTGAGCCAGGAGAGGAGAAGTGGGAGAGGAGGAGCGGGAGATGGGTCAGAAGTGGCCTGTGTCTGCTGCTGGGTGCCCGTTTGTGCCAGGCCTTCCTGGTGTGCTTGTGCACTGGGCCCTGTCTCCTGCAGGGTTTCTCATGGCATGTTCTTTCACACACTAATACAGCAGGAAGCTCTGCCACTGAAAGGTGTTGTGAGCCAAGGATTTGAAGGCCCTTAGAAGTCCTGCAGTAGAGCAACCAGTGAGATTTGTTCTCAACTGGCTTGATCACAAAACCCTTTCTTTTACAGAGTGCCCTCAGGGGAACGCTGGCCTGATTTATGGCTTTACAATGACATCAAGTCAGACTATCTTCATTGTCTGTTTTTCTCTTTTCTCTTGGACTCTGCACCCTTTCCTGCCATGAACTTCATTAAGTTCTATTCAGAGCCCCAGGCCTGAAAAGCGTCAGGACTGCTGGCGTTTATTGAGTGCTCACTCAGTGCCATGCACCATCTACATGCGTCATGCAGATTCACACACTTCACACCAAGGCAGGTGGCTAGCAGACTGATTTAAGATAGGAGGAAACTGAGGCAAAGAGAGGATAAGCAGTGTGTCCAGGCTTACGCCTCTGATGAGTATAGGTCTGGTATTTGAACTCAAGCAGTCTGGCCCCAGAGGCCTTAGTCTTAACCACGATGTGATGAGTCCAGGAGCCTCACATGCCATTTATTCAGGAGAAGTGGCATCAGAGGTCACACCCAGTGCACAGAGCTCCCACTGTTTCTGGGGACCAGGCAGTGGGCTGTGGTCATTGGGCATAATTGGTACAGTGGAGCTGGGTGCTGTCTGGCCCCAGTTCCTTGCTCTGCAGAAGGTGAACAGGAGACCCAGAGAGGGGTGGGGACACATTCAGAGTCTCACTGTGGGCCAGTGGTAATTCCAGGACTTGGTGCTCTTCCTACCCTGTTGCCTAGGACAAGACTATCCTTGGTTTTGAGGAGAGGCCTGTGATTTTCTGCTCAAATGCATGCCCCCTGGTGGTCAAGGTACATCTCTCCACTCTTTCCGCAAGACCAGCTTCTCTGCTGTGTGCTGAACTTGCCAAGTGGGGAGTGTTTGTGGGCTCCAGGGATCTGGAGACTCATTTTCCAGTTCCCACTGATGCTGGATTCCCAGGGCAGTGTGAGAGCAGGGACTTAAAAGTCCAGACAGGTTCAGATCTCTCTGTCACTTAGAAACAGAGTGACTTTGGGTAAAAATGCTCAACTCATCTGCAAAGCGGGGCCAATTACAGCTCCTGCCTCACTTTTCTGTGTTGAAAACAAGATGGTGGGTGGGGAGCACTGAGCCCATTGTCTGGTACCGGAGCCACTCAATAGATGGCAGCTATCATGCTTTGTCATCTCCAGGTTCAGCATACAGCGGTGGTAGCGCTGTGTCTGTCTTGTGGTCCTGACCAATGTGTGCCCCTGTGAGATCTTGGAGGGTGGGAATAGGGTCACCCTCATCTGGATCCCTACTTCCTGGCACTGTCATGCCTCGTCCTTGAAATTCCAGGTGACCTGGAGCTAAACACACCCTGGCAGGGGTCTGGCAAGGACTACCTCACCTTTTCACTGTTGTGTCCCAGTCACTGAGCTCAGTGCTTTGCAGGCATTTCATGGCTAACTCTCATAGCTATTCTGTGAAGTAGGCATTTTATTTTCAGATAAGGACCTGAGGTTCAAAAAGTTAAATGGTTTGTCCAGAATGACATAGCTACAGGTTGAGTGTCTCTTGTCTGAAATACTGGAGACCAGAAGGGTCTCAGATTTTGGAATGCTTGCATTCTACTTACCAGTTGAGCGTCCCTAATCTGACAATCTGAAATCCAGAATGCTGCAATAAGCATTTCCTTTGAGCATGACCTTTGGGGGTCACACTGGTGCTCAAAAAGTTTTGGATTTTGGAGCATTTTGGATTTTCAGATTAGGGATGCTCAACCTGTGGTAAGTCATAGAACGAAGATCTGATAGTCAAGCTTGTTGTTTCTAACCCAGCCATAGGAGATAATATAAGAGCAAGTGGACTGACAGGGAGCCTGAGGCTCAGAGAGGAGATGTGGGATTCCCAAGGTCCCCCAGGTAATGGTGAGGTCTGTGCTTGGCCTCCACCTCGGCATTCCCGAATCAGGGCTCCTCCTCCCTCTGCCTGGCAGACCTCATTGGAAGATTTGGTGTCTCCGGAGTGGGTCCTCAGTGGTGAGGAGCAAGAGGGATTTCCAGTGCTGTGGGGTGAGGCCTGCAGTGAGGCCAGCCTCTCGGTGCTGAGGCCCTCCATTCCCTTCTTGGCTGGTTCGTTTCGTTGCCAGCGGATAGGCCATCAGTGGCTTGGCTTTCTGCCTTCCCGGATGGCTGGGCAGCTGACTGAGCCGCCAGCACCTGGCAGTCAGCTCAGGGTCGGGACTTTGAAATGGGATCCCTCAGCACCCGCGGTCCTGTGTGGCATCCCAGGCCTCAGCAGGCAACGGACAAGGCCTGAAATGTCTCAGGGCCCTACCGCTTTTGTCCCCACGCAGCCCAAGTAGTTCCCATCCTTGGTCAGGGCTGTCTTAGGAGTCGTGAGCAGCCTGGAGCTGGGGAGGTAGCTGAGGATTGGGCTGTGCGCTGGGCCTCAGCACCTGAGGCTGGCTCAGGACAGGGTGGGGAGGTACTCTTGATGTTTGGAGAATCACATGCAGGCTTCTTAATGTGGTTTATGAGGCCAGGGCCCTGCAGAGCCTTTTTGGGAATTAGAGGAGATGAGTGAAAGGCACTCTTCTGGACAAGTGCAGCTCTGCAACGGGCACAGGCTCAGCCGAGACTTTACCCCGCGTCCACCACTGACTTGCACGCCCCTGTGAGTGCCCCCTGAGCAGCTCTCCTCGGGGGCCCACACGTGACCCCATCTCCCCCTCCAAAGTCATTTTGCTTTGCCCTGCCCCACTCACTCTCCACGCAGCAGCCACATGGATCTTTTTAAAATGCAAATTGAAACCTATCATCCTTTGATGGAGTCTTTGAGGGCTTCCTGCTGCTGCTTCAAGCCTCCAGCACCCTGCAGGTCTGACTCCAGCTGACCTAACTGCCTCAGCTCCTCCGTTCCCTCTTGTTCACTCTGCTGCCTTCTTGCTATTCCTTGGCCACGTTAAGTCCTGTCCTACCTCAGGGCCTTTGCACTTGCTATTCTTGGCCTCTACCTTTCCCTTTGTTTGTGCTCATTTGTTCTTTAAATGTTAGCTCAAAAGTCCCTTTCTTCAGGAGACCTCCTGAGCCCACTAACTGTGCCCAGTGGTCTACTGTTCCACAAATATGAACCTCCTCTGTGTAGCATGTGCCACACTGAAGTTTTACATTTATTCCTGTGATTTTGGTGAATGTCTCTCTTCCCTCCTTGATTTTAAGGTTCATGAGAGCAGGGGCCAAGTCTTTGTTTTTCTCACTGTATCACTGGCACTTAAAACAGTGCCTGACACAGTGAATAGTTGTAGAATGAACAGATGAAACCTGTGTTGAGCATCTATCATATGCCAGGTACTGGAGAGCTGGCTGTTCCTCTTTTATTCCTTTTAAAAATCCAGTTCTGCATTAAATTATGTGTGTTCCTGCTGGGTATCAAGCTGGGCACCAGGGATCCAAAGGTGAAACATCATAGCCCCTGAACTTAAGGGGTTGCAGGCTGGTGGGAGATAGAATGCTGAAAATATAATATTGCAGCTGAGGTGAGAAATGCTGCAGCTGAGGCTTTAACATGGTCTCAGGGAGGCCAGTGCAGAGAAGAGGATATATGCATTGGGTTTGAAGTATGAGCAGGGGTTTGTCAGGCCAAGAAGACAGAATGGAATTGGCACAGGAACAAGGACAAATTGTACCATATTCAGGGGCAGGTAGCTGAGAGGGTGAGGAAGGAACAGGGGCTGTGAGCCTAGGGAAGATGGGACTGGGGCACACTGACTTCAGACTTCCAGGGAACTAGGCAGCTGCATACCTTGAGAGAAGGGAGGCAGAGACTTCACCACTGATGGCAATGACCAGGCAGGCACCATGGTGAGGGAGTGGCCTCTGGAGTGCTAGGAGCATATGGGGCACCCCCAGCAGAAACCTCCTCTTTGAGCGTCCGCATTGGCATCCACGTTAAGATGTCTCCTGAAGAAAAGGTTGCGTGGCCAGAGCCAGTTTGGAAATCCCAGGCAACCACACCTGGTGGTTAGGTGTGTGAGTGCTAGGGCTCGATCTCTTGGCAGTGATTCATAGCTCCTGCCAACCACTGTGCTACTGAGGGCAGCGTGCCCCTCCAAGCCTTGGTTTCCACACCTGTGAAGTGGGATACGCAGGCTGATATGAGGACTGAATGAGCAGTTTCTGATCATGCCACAGGCCCTATTCTGAGCACTTTGCTGGTATTGATACTGATCATCCTCTACCATCCCTGGAGTTATTTTCTGTTCTTAGCCACATTTTACAGCAGAAACTGAGGCACAGAGAGGTGATATAACTTGCCCAAAGTCAGGCAGTCTAGCAGGATTCATGTTCTCAACTGCTAGATTTTCTTCTGTGTGGTTTAGCCTCTCTAGGCCCCATCTCCTATGTGTAAAATGGGTATGAGAGCAGTGTCTCCATCATGGGGTCATTGGAGGATTAACAGCATTCCTGTCTGCAAAGTGCACAGCACCGAGTGCCTGACTTTGGTAAGTGAGTCATGTGTGTTTGTGAGTATATTATTGTGCAGGGTGGAGTGCAGGGCCAGGGTGGTGAGCCTTCCATGAATATTGGTGAATACTGATACCACTATTATGGTCCACATGTGAGAGTCTGTGTCCTTTAGGTTCTGGATATGACAGTTCTATTCCCCCTCCTGCCCCCCATTGACTGCAGGCCAATGAGAACAGCCTGCTGAGCGCGCAGCTCAAGGGCTTCCCCCTGTTCCTGCACTCAAACCTGGGCCTGAAGGACTGCAGCATCAACCCCAAGTCCCCGCTGCTCTACGTGACGCGACCTAGCGAGGTGGAGAAGGGTGTGCTCCCCGGCGAGGACTGGACGGTGTTCCAGTCAAACCACTCCACCTATGAGCCGGTGCTGCTGGCCAAGACGCGCTCATCCGAATCCATTCCACACCTGGGCACGGACGCCGGCCTGCACGCCGCACTGCACGCCACTGTGGTCCAGGACCTGGGCCTGCACGATGGCATCCAGCGTGTGCTGTTTGGCAACAACCTGAACTTCTGGCTGCACAAGCTTGTCTTCGTGGATGCCGTGGCCTTCCTCACAGGGAAGCGCCTCTCCCTGCCATTGGACCGCTACATCCTGGTGGACATTGATGACATCTTTGTGGGCAAGGAGGGCACACGCATGAAGGTGGAGGACGTGAAGGTATGACTGGGGATGCCAGACTGGGCAAGGCAGGCAGGGCCTGGCAAGCTTCAGCCTTCAGGTGCCCCGTGGTGGATGTGCCCTGTCTGTATCTCCCCTGTGCTGAGAGTTACTTAAAAAGACAGTCCCACCCTACTTCCTATCCTGCCAGTTGGTTTTTATTAATGGTCTTATTTGAAGCAAGTATCATTTAAAACTTGATTGAAGCATTGGCCAGACATGGTGGCTCACACCTGTAATCCCAGCACTTTGGGAGCCTGAGGTGGGCGGATCACTTGAGGTCAGGAGTTTGAGACCAGCCTGGCCAACATGGTGAAACCCCATCTCTACTAAAAATACAAAAAGAAGTAGCCAGGTGTGGTGGCGTATGTCTATCATCCTGGCTACTTAGGAGGCTGAGGCAGGAGAATTGCTTGAACCCGGGAGGTGGAGGTTGCAGTGAGCCGAGACTGTGCCACTGCACTCCAGCCTAGGTGACAGAGCGAGACTGTATCAAAAAAATTAAAAAGGCCGGGCGCGGTAGCTCACGCTTGTAATCCCAGCACTTTGGGAGGCCGAGGTGGGTGGATCACGAGGTCAGGAGATCGAGACCACAGTGAAACCTCGTCTCTACTAAAAATACAAAAAATTAGCCGGGCGTGGTGGCACGCGCCTGTAGTCCCAGCTACTCAGGAGGCTGAGGCAGGAGAATGGCCTGAACCCAGGAGGCGGAGCTTGCAGTGAGCCGAGATGGCACCACTGCACTCCAGCCTGGGTTACAGAGGGAGACTCTGTCTCAAAAAAAAAAAAAAAAAAAAAAAAAAAAAAAATTAAAAAAAATAAACCTTTATTGTATTGGAGTACTGAATATAGAGGAATTTTGCATCTGGAGTGTGGAGTTTAAGTTTGTATAATATCTATGGAAGAAGACATCCAGACAAAGATGGGAGCTATACAGTGCTGTTTATCCGCCTTTAATTTAAATATGATTTTTAACTCTTAAAAATGTTTATGTTAATGTCAGAGCGCCTACAAAACTCTTAAAATAAGGATGAGAGCTTGAATCATGCATGAGGCAGATTTTAACTGAGGTGTAAGTAGACAGTAGAACGCATGTGTTTAATTCAAAAAAGGTTTGCTGGCCGGGTGTGGTGGCTTGTGCTTGTAATCCCAGCACTTTGAGAGGCCCAGGCAGGAGGATTGCTTGAGCCCAGGAGTTTGAGAGCAGCTTGAGCAACACAGGGAGACCTTGTCTCTACCAAAAGAAAACGTTAGCTGGGTGTGGTGGTAGTAGTCCTGTAGCCCTAGCTATCTGGGAGGTTGAGGCAGGAGGATTGGTTGTGCTTGGGATGTTGACGCTGCAGTGAACCGTGATTGTGTGTGGCGTTGTCCAGCCTGGGTCATAGAGCAAGACCCTGTCTCAAAAAAAAAAGGAAAAAAAAAAAAGTGTTTACTAAGCAAAACTATGTAAAAGCACTTTGCAGACCACAAGGTTTTACACACATGTGAACTGTCATTGTGACAAAGAGCCTACAAATTAAGACCATTAAACAATCTTTAAAACACAGTTTTCATCTACTCACTATTTTACTTAAAGTTATTTGCAAAGGAGATGGCATCCTAGTGTAAATAGGAAATCTGGATCAGTTGCCATAAATAGAGGGCAACCATAACAATAAATCCAGTGAAAACAAAACAGGGGGATTAAATTCTAGAGACATTCTGCTGTCTGCTGATAGCCTGTCCTGTCTTATAGGAGATTAGCAAGTGTTAGAAACATATTAACACCAAACCCAGGCTTGACTTTGATGTTAGCAGGAGGCTTTAAAAAGAGACTTGTAAGAGGAATACTTTTCTGAGTAATTCCAAAATCTCTGGTAGGGGTTGGCCCTGGGGCCTGGAAGGAAGTTCCTGGTGGCATTCATCCCCCTGCCTTGGTCAGGAGTGAACTCTCCTTTTCCTTACACTTCTAGAGAAGAGCAGAATGGATGGCATTCGGGAGCAGGCACTGTCTGGGGAGTTAAGACCTAATTTGAGTCGAGTCCTAATTTGACCCTAATGGACTAGGTGACTTGGGCAGGTCCCCTCCCATGCCTGAGCCTCAGCAGTAAAATGATGAGATGGGGTGGATGGGAGGTTTTCAGGCTGTTTCCTGGTACCCCAGGGGTCTCCCATAGGTGCCTGGATAGGGGGATGTTTCAGTGCCAGGTTCAGCCCTCCAGGCTCTGCCTCAGTGGCACCAGCAGTGCTGCTTTGGGCTGCTTTTACGCATTGTGTTTCCTCCTGAGATTCCATTCTCTTAAAGGCTGTCCTGTTTAAAGACCATTTTAGCCTTCCCGTCTAAGTCTTCACGCGGTGCCACCACCTGCCTCTGGCAAGGTAGATTGCTCTGCGTTCTGCTTCAGGGGTTCTTCCAGTGGCCTATGCTCGTTTTCTCCTGCAGGAACCTGGGTTCTTGCTGCCTGTCCAGTGGGTTCTGGAGAGACTGTGGTCCAGGGTCAGGTTGAGCCTGAGGAGTCAGGCTCCTGGGCTCACTGTCTTCCTATAAGCCCTGAATAGCTCTCTCTCATTTATTTTCCCTATTCTAATTTTTTTTTTTTTTTTTTTTTTTTATAGATAGAGTCTCACTCTGCCACCCAGGCTGGAGTGCAGTGTCAGGATCACAGCTCACTCAAGCCATCTGAGCACAAGCAGTCCTCCCACCTCAGCCTCCTGAGTAGCTGGGATTACAGGCACATGCCACCATACCCAGCTAGTTTTTTGTAGAGGGCAGGTTTCACCATGTTGCCCAGGCCGATCTGGAACTCCCAGAGTCAAGCGCTGCGCCCACCTCGGCCTCCCAAAGTGCTGGGTTTATAAGCATGAGCCATCGCACCTGGCTCTATTTTTTGTATTTTTAAAGTGAGAGGAATGATAGCAGTCTGAAGCCATTTCTATAGAACAATAGAAATAGAAAAATAGAATACAAACCAAAAATACAAATAGAGGCACCGTCTTTCACGCACTCAGCTCAGTTCAGATTGCAAAGTGCTTCTCCAGCCATAATCCTACTTGCCTTAAACATTTTTGTGAGTCAGAAAGGGCAGAGTTTTTTTTGTTTTGTTTTTGTTTTTTTTTTAATCCCAAGCACAGCCTACAACAGAGCCCTTCTTTCAGAGACATGAATGTTACCTCATTAGCTTGTACAGTACAATTTAAATAATACCAATAGCAGCTGCCTATTCAGGGTTTGGTGAGTCCCTGTGCTTAGCCCTTTCTGGGCATTGCTTCATTGGGTCCTTATAGCAGCCCTGTGAGGTGGGTAGTGTTCTGAGTCCCATTTTACAGAGGTGGGCACTGAGGCTCAGGGAGCTGAGGTAACTTGCCTAAGGCCACACAGCTGGAGCATGCGTGTCCACCAGGCAGTGCACGGCCCTGGCAAGATGCTGGTGGTGACTGCATTGCCTGGGGAGGGCCAGGACTTTTAGTTTGTAAAGTGCTCTGATAGCTGGCTCTTACAGGTTTCTTTTTTCTTTTCCTTTTCTTTCTTTTCTTTTTTTTTTTGAGGCGGAGTTTCTCTCTTGTTGCCCTGGCTGGGGTGCAGTGGCGCGATCTTCGCTCACTGCAACCTCTGCCTCCTGGGTTCAAGCAATTCTTCTGCCTCAGCCTCCCGAGTAGCTGGGGTTACAGGCGCCTGCCACTATGCCTGGCTAATTTTGTATTTTTAGTAGAGACAGGGTTTCACCATGTTGGTCAGACTGGTTTTGAACTCCTGACCTCAGGTGATCTGCCCGCCTTGGCCTCCCAGACAGAGCTCTGGGATTACAGGCATGAGCCACTGCGCCCGGCAGCTCTTACAGGTTTCTGAGCCGCTTTGTGGCTCATGCGTCCTAACCCCAGAGTACACCTGTATGTTTGTTTTATAAGTGTTAGTGTCCCTTCATTGACTTGCAAAGTACTGGGTACGTGGCGCATGGGAGGACTGCATTGCTGGGCGCACAGTGTCCCATCCTTGGAAAGATCATGGCCCTTTTAATGTCAGCCTTGCATTCCATCAGCAAGGAGAAATCCTCCACATTTCATAGGTGAAGACACAGGCTCACAGCGGCGGTGACCACAGACATAGCATTGGCCACCATTTTTCGTCACTTACCAGATGTCAGGCAGTTTTACGTAGAGTATCTTTTTTATAATTGTTTAATCTTTTTAGAGCAGGGTCTTACAATTGGACCCATGTTGGATTCTAACTCCTGGGCTCAAGCGATCCTCCTACCTTAGCCTCCCGAATAGCTGGGATACATGCAGTTATCTTACTTGATTCTTCCAAGAACCTTATGAGGGAGATATTATCATCCCTGTTTTATATTTGACGAAACCGAGACCTAGAGGAGTGTGAAACCTTTTCAAGGACGCATAGCAGAGCTGGCTGGGAGTCTAGGTTTTCCCTTGTCAGAGGTCTGGTGGAAGGCAGTGTAGGGCTGGCTTCAAGGGTATGTGTGATCTGTGCAGGCACACAGAGCCCCGTGCTCAGAGGGAGCCCATTACGTGGCTTAATGCCTGCTGTTGCCTTCTCGACATTCTTTTTTTGTTGTTGAGGCGGAATCTCGCTCTGTCACCCAGGCTGGAGTGCAGTAGTGTGATCTCGGCTCACTGCAACCTCCGCCTCCCGGGTTCAAGTGATTCTCCTACCTCAGCTTCCCAAATAGCTGGGATTACAGGCTCGTGCCACCATGCCCGGCTAATTTTTGTATTTCTAGTAGAGACTGGGTTTTACCATGTTGGCCAGGCTGGTCTTGAACTCCTGACCTCAAGTGATCCACCCGCCTTGGCCTCCCAAACTGCTGGAATTACAGGCATGAGCCACCACGCCGTCCTTGACATTCTTTATAATTTTTGAACAAGGGACTTCCACATTTTTTCACTGCCTTCAGTGGGAGGAGCCGGGAGGTCCTGGCTTTCCCTCACTTCTTCCTTTCTCCCCTGCCTGTCCTAGGCCCTGTTTGACACACAGAACGAACTACGTGCACACATCCCGAACTTCACCTTCAACCTGGGCTACTCAGGGAAATTCTTCCACACAGGTAAGTGGGCCTGCCCCTGCCCTCACTAGCAACTACCAGGATCCTCAGCACCCAAACCCTCAAAGCATCCATCCACGAGGGCAGCAGGTGGGCTTACTGGCCCACATTAGGGGCAGATGTGACCCCTTTGCCCCCCCGGAGCCAACAGCCTACAAAAGCAGTCACAACCCAGGCAGAGGCCATCTGGGGACAACAGCAGCGGCAGCAACAGCAGCTGCTTGTCCCTCCCTGGTCTTTCAGGCTGTGCTGGCCTGGGTGGGGTATCTTCTCCCTCTTACCTCTCTCTCCTATCTTTTAAAATTATGTGTATTATTTCTGCTTATGAAAGAAGCTGGTTGAATTTTAAGAACATTACAGAAACATGTAGCATAGAAAGTGAAGATGCCCTGTAATTGTACCCACCTTAGATGACCAGTGTCCTGGGGTTTATTTTAGAGTCCTAAGGGTTGAGGGTGAGGGCTATAGGTTGCTTGGTGCACACTTTCCTTCCTCTTTGGGGCTCTCTCACTTACTGTTCTCTCCTCATCTGCTGTCCTTCAGGGACTGGGCAGGAAGAAACAGCCCCTGAGCTGGTCATCTGCAGTGACCGTTTCCCCTAGCTGCCTTCTGCCCAGGCCTCAGTGAGACAGCCTCTCTTGAATTCTAAGAAAACCATTTTAGTCAGTAATTCAGCAGATGGAGGGGTATATGCAACATAGCCCCAAAGCCAAATAGGAGTGATCCTGGGTTGTCTGCATTTTTTATATTCTTTTTAAAATGTTTTATTTATTTTTGGCCAGGCGTGGTAGCTTAGCCTATAATCCCAGCACTCTGGGAGGCTGAGGTGGGCATATTATTTGAGGTCAGGAGTTCAAGACTACCCTGGTCAACATGGCGAAACCCCATCTCTACTAAAAATACGAAAATTAGCCGGGCGTGGTGGCATGCACCTGTAGTACCAGCTACTTGGGAGGCTAAAGCAGGAGGATTGCTTGATCCCAGGAATGCAAGGCTGCATTGAGCTATGATCACACCACTGTACTCCTGCCTAGGTGACAGAGTAAGACTGTCTGAAAAAAAAAAGAAATTATTTATTTTTAGAGACAGGACCTCCCTCTGTCACCTAGGCAGGAATACAGTGGTGCAATCATAGCTCACTGCGGCCTTGAACTCCTGGGATCAAGCAGTCCTCCTGTCTTAGCCTCCCGAGTAGATGGTACTACAGGTGCATGCCACTATGCCTAGCTATTAATATTTTAAAAATTTTTGTAGAGATGGGGCCTCGCACTATGTTGCCTAGGCTGGTCTCAAACTCCTAGGCTCAAACGATCCTCCCACCTTGGCCTTCCAAAGTGCTGGAGTTACAAGTGTGAGCCACTGTGCTTGGTTGTTTTTTATGTTCGTAACCCTTAGCATATCAGAGGTGGTTGTAGTAATACATCTGAGACAGAGGGTCAAACATCCTGGATATATACAAAGAGCTTCCATAGATCATTAGATAAAAGACAAGTGACCTGATTTGGATCATTGGAATAGAATCAGAGCAGGTATGTCAGAGGTAGAAGAAACCCTTGAGATCATTGACTCCAGACCCCGAATTGTGCAGATGGGCCCAAGGATCTAGAAAGGAGGTAGTTTTGGTGTAGGTCCCCCATTGAGTCAAGGGCACACTTTAGACTAGAACTCAGGGCTCTGGGCTGGGGCTCTGTCTGCTTCTGTGCTGTAGCCCAGATAACTCTTCCAGGCAGCTCCTGAGTGGACTGTGGCCATGTGCTCCCATCCCCAGGCACAGGCCCAGGTTAGAGGGCCTCATGGCCCAGTGGGCGGGGCTGAGCTGCCTGTGCTGCTGCAGGTACCGATGCTGAGGACGCTGGGGATGATCTGCTGCTGTCGTATGTCAAGGAGTTCTGGTGGTTCCCTCACATGTGGAGCCACATGCAGCCCCACCTTTTCCACAACCAGTCCGTGTTGGCCGAGCAGATGGCCTTGAACAAGAAGTTCGCTGTCGTGAGTAAGATTCCCTACAGGGCAGAGCGGGGTGGGTTAAGGGTTGGGCTGGAGGTCCAGACTACTGGCCTCTTGCTGCTTTTGCAGTCTGCTGTGATGGATTTTTACTAACACCTCTGGGCCAGGGCCCAGGGAGAGCTGCCTTTATAACCACTGTCTCCTTGAAGCCTCAGGAGAATAACCCCTTCACAGACAAGAAACCAAGACTCAGGGAGGTCACATCAGCTACTAAAAGGTCCAGCTGGGACTTAAACTCAGGCCATTTGTTTCCTGTGCCCAAGCTCTTATTAGAATGGGAGGCTCTGGAAAGCTGGAAGAGGTGCTCAATGAGGAGGGAACGAGCCCTGGGTGCTAAGTAGAATGAAGAGAAGGCAGGAAAGGCCCTCATCCTTGTCCCTTACTACAGGGTACTTGAGTCCTTTGTGCTAGAGGTGTGTGCACCGGACCGAGAGTCAGGAGACCTGGGTTCTAATCCCAGCTCTGCCAGTTGCCCACACTGAGGTTCTGGGCACATTCCTTGCCCTCCCAGGCCTCAGCTTCTCCATCTGTACCATGAAGGCTCAGACCAGCAGCCCTGCTGACCTAGCCTCTGATTTCTCACTCCCATTCTACAAAGGGGGAATAAGGCCCAAAGGGGAAAGACCCCTATGCTCATCCTGGCCTGGTCATCTTCTCCCTAGGAGCATGGCATTCCCACAGACATGGGGTATGCAGTGGCGCCCCACCACTCGGGCGTGTACCCCGTGCACGTGCAGCTGTACGAGGCTTGGAAGCAGGTGTGGAGCATCCGCGTGACCAGCACGGAGGAGTACCCCCATCTGAAGCCAGCCCGCTACCGCCGTGGCTTCATCCACAATGGCATCATGGTGAGTGGGCCCCTGAAGCCCGGGAGGTGGCAGAATGGAGAGCACACGCTGTCCTGGGAAGCATGGCTCTGGTTTGCTGGCTTAGGGTTTGCAGATCAACTTCTGCTGCCTCCTCTGGCACCCGAGGCTCTCTGTCCCAGGGAGGGTGGGCTGCCACTCCGGCCCCTTTCATGAGCTCTTTCTTAGCTTTTGTGACAGAGGATCAAGCAATAGTGAGCATTCTCGAAAGAGGTTTCTAATGAGGACATGGGACAGGGCTCTGTTACAGTCTTTTTGCTGATTAAAAATTTTTTTCTTGTCTGGGCGTGGCAGCTCACACCTGTAATCCTAGCACTTTGGGAGGCTAAGGAGGCAGATTGCTTGAGCCCAGGAGTTTCACACCAGCCTGGGCAACATAGTGAAACCCCATCTCTACTAAAAAAAATACTAAAAAAAAATATACCTGATGATTAGCCAGGTGTGGCGGTGCACGCCTGTAGTCCCAGCTACTTGCAGGGCTCAGGCAGGAGGATCACTTGAACCTGGGAGATCGAGGCTGCAGTGAGCCAAGATTGTGCCACTGCACTCCAGCCTAAGTGACAAAGTGAGACTGTCTAAAAAAAAAAAAAAAAAAGAAAAAAATCCTCCCCCTGGGGCTTCTACCATTCATCTATCCCTTTTTTTTTTTTTTGTTCTTTCTTTTTTCTTTTTCTTTTTTTTTTTTTTGAGACAGAGTTTTGCTCTTGTTGTCCAGGCTGGAGTGCAGTGGTGTGATCTCAGCTTACCACAACCTCCTCCTCCTGGGTTCAAGCAATTCTCCTGCTTCAGCCTCCCAAGTAGCTGGGATGACAGGCATGCACCACCACGCCTGGCTAATTTTGTATTTTTAGTTGAGACAGGGTTTCTCCATGTTGGTCAGGCTGGTCTCGAACTCCTGACCTCAGGGGATCCACCCACCTTGGCCTCCCAAAGTTCTGGGAATTACAGGCGTGAGCCACTGTGCCCAGCCTTGCATCTATCCCTTGGCACCACTGGGGACACAGAAATGCACAAAACAGAGGAAAGTTCCTGCCCTTGTAGACCTGACATTCTAGTGGCAGGAGACAGACCATATGCTCATGCGTGTATAAAGTATACAGTGGTCAGATGGTGATGAGTGCCACGGACAGAGTTAAGCAGGGAATGGAAGGAAGGAATGCTGGCAAGAGGAGAAGCTGGTTTAAATAAGGTGGCTAGGTGGGTCTTCCTGGAATAAGCCACGCTGCCTCATGAGGAAGAGCACTCAAGACAGAGAACAGCAAGTGCAAAGGCCCTGAAGCAGGCTGTGCTGACTGTGTTTGAGGGCCAAATAGGAGGCCAGGATGACTGCAGGGGAGTGAGGGATGGTGGTAGATGAGGTCAGGGGTGGGTGACGGACCAGATCGATAGGGCTATGTAAGGCCAGCCATTGGATGGCCATGGACTTTTAGGCTGAGGTGGGAAGATTTTGAATGGAGCATGATCTGACTCATCTTTGAAAGGGATTTCTATCATTCTGGCTGTTGTGTGGAGCAGAGACTCTAGGGGACAAAAGTGGCAGCAGGGAGACCAGTTAGGAGGCACTGTGGTCTTCCAGACCAGAGCAGGCAGCAGCTTGGACCAAGGCCCGGTGTTGGGACTTGGCCATACTCTGGGCTTAGAATAGTTAGGCCCATGGTTAGATGAGTTGGATGTAGGGTGTGGGAGGAAGAGAGGACTCCAAGATGACTGCAGGGTTTTTAGCCTAAGGTGCTAGAAGGATGAGTTGTCATCAGTTGAGCTGGGGCAGCAGTGGGTAGGCAAGGTTTGTGCATTTGTCCATCAGTCCATCCATCCATCCACCCACTGACCTCAGCACCAGGCCTTTGTGCTAAACTCTAGGCACTCCTTCAGGTCCTCAACCCTGAACTTCAGGGATGAGGTGGTGACAAGGCAGGCACATTCCCTGCTCCCTTGGAGCTCACAGTTTCGTGAGGGGAGACAGATGACAAATGGCTAACCCAGTGTGTGACAACGAGTGTCACCAGGTGAGGTTCTAATATTGCAAGGGGGCTTGCAGAGCGTGTCCGGGAGAGCTGCTTCAGAGAGGGCCAGGCAAGGACCGTGGCTGCAGCAGTCCAAGTTTCCAGAAGCATTCCCACTCTGTTACTTTGAGGTCTGCTCATTTTGTGCAGAGAATAGCAGTGAAGTTTGTAAAATGGCAGTGGCCTGTAGTTCACCGGGGGGAACGCTGTGCTGTAGGCTGCACCCAAGGGTCGGGTCTGTGCAGCCACATAGAGACTGCCTTTCTGAGGAGCAGCTAGGCCTTCCTCTGAGGAAAAGTCCTCCCACCACCACCATGCCAGAAGGCACCATAGCTCCTCTCCCCCACCCCCTCCTCAGGTTCTCCCGCGGCAGACCTGTGGCCTCTTCACACACACCATCTTCTACAACGAGTACCCTGGCGGCTCCAGCGAGCTGGACAAGATCATCAACGGGGGCGAGCTCTTCCTCACTGTGCTCCTCAATCCTGTGAGTGCCCCACAGCCTATGACTGCTGGTGAGAAGGGGCTGCTGTACAGCCCGCCTGCAGCTGGCGCAGTCTTCCTGGAGCCAGGAAAGGGCGGAGAGGCATGAGTGAGTGCCTGGCAGTTGGGAGATCCACTCACAGTGCTGGCCCTGTCCTGCCTCGGCTGTGTGACCTTGGCTAAAGAATCCGAGCATGCTTTTTTTTCCTTTCCTAATCATGTACTTTAATACGAAAGCATGCTTTTTTTTTCCTGTCTTAATCATGTACTTTAATACGAAAGTGTTGGCATTTTTATGCATGTTCCCTTTGAGTCTCTGCTCATGTGTGTATACACACATACACAGATACACACACATATATAAATGGCATTTGAGTTTTCTAGGTCTCGCTTTCCTTATTTGCAAAATACAAACAATTACCTCTACTTTAATAATATGAAATAAACTTCAAGTGGTGGTTGTTAGTCAGCTCTGTGGGCTGAGTACTCTTCATCCTCCATGCACCCCACCCCTAACATTTACAAAACAAAACCCGAATAGCTCCCACATTTGGATCTGCTTTCCATTTCAGGACTGTAATATTTGGGGTCAGTCAGGCCTGGTTCGTCTGTTGCCTCATCTAAGTACTCACAGCAGGTTTGTTGAGAGCCCCAGCGTAACTTCCGCTGGTCATCAGCGGCCTTGCAAGCTGAGGCAGGGTCAGAAGGATCAGAGTTGGCGGTGAGGGTGGCTCAGACACTGATGGGCCTTGCCTCTCTCCTCCCCTCCCCTGGAGCAGATCAGCATCTTCATGACGCACCTGTCCAACTATGGGAATGACCGCCTGGGCCTGTACACCTTCAAGCACCTGGTGCGCTTCCTGCACTCCTGGACCAACCTCCGGCTGCAGACGCTGCCCCCTGTGCAGTTGGCCCAGAAGTACTTCCAGATCTTCTCTGAGGAGAAGGACCCACTCTGGCAGGTGGGGGGCTGGGCAGCCTGGGCACCTTGCTGCAGGGATGGAATGCCACCATGCACAGGCATACACTCCAGATATGGACTCAAGGCTCAGCCATCATGCCCTCACACTCTCGCTCGAATGTAAACTCAGGTCTCCGTCCACTCACCAGTATGAGTGCATTCACTCCTTTGCCCACATGCATGTTCATACATGTACATACCTCCCCATGCAGACCTACATGCATGCAGTCATACATAGCCTTGGAAAAAACAGTGTTAAAAAAAAACGAGTGGGCTGGGCGCAGTGGCTCATGCCTATAATCCCATTACTTTGGGAGGCCAAGGTGGGCGGATTGCTTGAACCCAGGAGTTCAAGATCAGCCTGGGCAATATGGTGAAACCGTGTCTCTACAAAAAATACAAAAATTAACCGGGCATGATGGTGCGTGTCTGTAGTCCCAGGTATTCAGGAGGCAGAGGTGGGAGGATCAATTGAGCCTAGAGGTTGAGGCTGCAGTGAGCTGTGATCATACCACTGTACTCCAGCCTGGGCAACAGAGTGACACCCTGTTTCAAAAACAAAAAACAACTCCAAGTGAACACAGTGCAGACAAAGTATAGAAAGTGACTGCCCTGTCTTGATCAGACTCTTAGATAATCTCTTGTATCTCTTCTAACTCCAGCAGGCTCTGAGCGGGAAAAGGGACTGATGGGAGGGTTTGGGGGCCAGTTTTGGGGAAAATCTGCTCCTATGGGCTGTTAAAAAGTGGAAGCAGAAGCTGGAATTGGTGACAGTCTCATAGTTCAGACCAGGAGTCCACAAACAATGACTCATGGGCCAAATCCAGCCTGAGACCTGTTTTTGTAAAGAAAGTTTTATTGGCAGACAGCCACGCTCATTCTTGTATGTACTGTCTATAGCTGCTTTTATGCTATGACGGCAGAGTTGAGTAGTTGCAGTGGAAACTTCCATACCCCAAACCTAAAATATTTACTAAACACTTACCAAAGATTTACTAAACTTTATAGAAAACGTTTATTGACCCCCTGGTTCAGACCCAGCTTGTCCAGTTAAATTCAACAAGTGCTTGTGAGTTCCTGTTACGTGCTAAGGGGCATTTTGCCAGGCTCTTTGGGGGACGTGAAACTGACCAGAAGTGGAGCCTGCCTGTCAGCAGCTCCGTGTCTGGGAGTGGGGATGTGACAAGGACACATGTAGCATGTAGGTATTATGCCTGTTGGGCTGTAAGGGCCACATATCCATGCGCAGTGAGAGTCCGCTGACTGGGTTCTGGGGCGCCCCACACGTCCCTTCCACTGTTGTTTTAGGACCCCTGCGAGGACAAACGTCACAAAGACATCTGGTCCAAGGAGAAGACGTGTGACCGCTTCCCAAAGCTCCTCATCATTGGCCCCCAGAAAACAGGCAGGTCTCTCTGCTCTTGACCCAGCTTCCCCAACTGCCTGCTGTCTCAGCCACAGAATTCTGAGGACTGCCTCGCCCTGGCCCCACTCCCGGATAATTTGCTCCCTCTTTCCCAGGAAGTAAGAGTGAAGTTGGGGTGAACACAAATTGCCTGTCAGTATGGAGGGGAAAGAGATGGAGGAGGGGCCTGGAGTTCTCCTATTTATCCCGAACCATAGCCTCAGGGAGCTCTCTCTGCATCATCCTGGGAAGTCTCCAAGTCTAGTCAGAGAAGCCCAGATCAGTTGCTCTGCAAGTTTGAGTAGTGCCAAGCAAAACTGGTACAAAGAGGACTGTGATCAATTAACCATGTCTGCCAGAGGTGCAGTAGGGAGAAGCAGTGACATGATGGCTAAGCATTTGTCATTCATACAACCCTGCAAGGCACAAATAGGCACTCCCATTTTTTTTTTTTTTTTTTTTTTTTTTGAGGCGGAGTCTCGCTCTGTCGCCCAGGCTGGAGTGCAGTGGCCAGATCTCAGCTCACTGCAAGCTCCGCCTCCCAGGTTCACGCCATTCTCCTGCCTCAGCCTCCCGAGTAGCTGGGACTACAGGCGCCCGCCACCTCGCCCGGCTAGTTTTTTGTATTTTTAGTAGAGACGGCGTTTCACCATGTTAGCCAGGATGGTCTCGATCTCCTGACCTCGTGATCCGCCCGTCTCGGCCTCCCAAAGTGCTGGGATTACAGGCTTGAGCCACCGCGCCCGGCCTGGCACTCCCATTTTATGGACAGAAACTCAAGGTTCAGAGAAGTCAAGTGACTTAACACATTCAGTTAGGTAATAATGGCAATTCCAGGTCCCGAACTCTGGTCTCTGTGACTCTGAAACACATACTCTTAATCGCCAAACTCTATAGCTTCGTTCTCTTCTGGGCTCTCCCATTATAGCATGTAAACTATAGATTCATACCACAGAAAGTGAATGAACTCGCGGAGGAGGAGGTAGGGCAGGGTGCATGAGTGAGGAGAGGGTATTGGGAAGAGGAGACATGGAAACAAGATTTCTTAGTTCTTTAAGAATTTCACATTAACAGAACTGGAGGGTCACAAACTCCCTTTTCCCTGAGCTCCTACCAAGTGCCAGAGGACAGAGGCCCAGAGCTGGAAAGGACCACCTCTTCTGGGATGCTGAGGGGACAGCAGTCAGTTAAACATGGCTACCAGAGTGCAGTGGTGAGGAGGATTCTGAGGCCAAGTCCTTGTTTAGTGAAGAATGCTGTGATAGATTAGTGATGTCTGCAGTAGGTACAGGAGTTGCGGTGTCCACATGCATGCCATATATTTACCACCTTGGATTTAGTAATTCCTTCATTGCACTGATGAAGAAGCTAAGACCCAGAGAAAGGCAGAGACCTTCCCAGGATCCCTCAGTGGGTCGTGGGGAGCTAGGCCCAGAACCCAGACTCTATCTTTGGCTGGGGACTGGGCCCTGGGTCTGAGGTGTCTATCCTCCCCACAGGCACCACTGCCCTCTACCTGTTCCTGGGCATGCATCCTGACCTAAGCAGCAACTACCCCAGCTCTGAGACCTTTGAGGAGATCCAGTTTTTTAATGGCCACAACTATCACAAAGGCATCGACTGGTGAGTTGGCCTTTCTGTCCACAGCAGGACGGGAAGGCCATCCTGGGGCCTCCCGGGAGTCTGCTATGGCCACAGCAGGAAGCAGCTGGAACTTGCTCACACACAGCTGTAGTTCCTGTAAACAGGGACAAAGTGCGGTGACCCTTGAATCATGGTGTGAAAGCGTTGTCATAGAGAGGACAGTCGATGAGGAGGCCCTTTGCCCCTTTGCTCTACTGCCTGCGGTCCTACGCTGAAGTCGAAGTCCACCCTTCCCTTGCTCACAGAGAAACATCCTGAGTCTTGGGGAGAAGAAGGGTTTGCCCAGGGTCTCAAGGTCTGAAATCCAAATGTTCTGGCCCTCCTCACTGCGTGTGGCTGACTGTGAAGCAGAGGTGTTCTTGCGCGCCCTTCAGGGACAGGTCCCTGGTCTTCAGGTATCACCTGGGGAAGTCATTAAGATTGCCGCTTCCCACCAGAGCCTGCAGAGGTTACCTTTGTAGAGGTTTCCAGCAGAGGGTCCTAGTAGAGGTTCTCTTAAGGGTGTGGGGGCCAGAGCAGAGATGGTTTTACTTTCCACCTTTTCAGTTGGCATCTTTCTCTATTTGACTTTTTTTTTCTTTTTTTAAAAATTTTCATGTCAGGCAGGTAATGTGCCAACATCGTAACAAGGTTCAAGGTGGGTACACCTCACGTGTGTGAACACCCAATCATCACGTGTATGGACTGCAAAGTTTGCCTTTTTAAACCTTGTCCATGGTATTACCATTATTGATTATTTTTATGTCAGTGGGTTCCCTGGGTGGAGAATTTATGGGCCTTCTGTCTGTTTTTTAGTATTTTTCTGTGCATATTTCTCTTTTTTATCTGTGTATCATCGTTTTTTCTCTCTGTCTTTGTATCTATTCATCTATCCATCTGTCCATCCACCTACATTTCTTTCTTTCTTTTTTTTTTTTTTTTTTTTTTTTTTGAGCTGGAATCTCGCTCTGTCACCCAGGCTGGAGTGCAGTGGCATGATCTCGGCTCACTGCAACCTCTGCTTCCTGGGTTCAAGTGATTCTCCTGCTTCAGCCTCCCAATTAGCTGGGATTACAGGCGCCCACCACCATGCCTGGCTACTTTTTGTATTTTTAGTAGAGATGAGGTTTTACCATGTTGGTCAGGCTGGTCTTGAACTCCTGACCTCGTGATCCGCCTGCCTTTGCCTCCCGAAGTGCTGGGATCACAGGTGTGAGCCACCGTGCCCGGCCCATCTACCTGCATTTCTAACATGTCCACAGTCTCTTATCTAAAATCTATTGTGGCCAGATGGATTATTTGAAGTCAACATTTTTCAGATTTTAGAAAGGAAATGTGGTGCGAAACCATATATTTAGTAACATCTTCAGCTACGCCTGGGGCAGTACCCGGTAGCAAATTCATTACTATGTAGCAAAGTATGTGAATATTTACACTAAGTAAGAGGAATAAGTCAGGTTTGGTTGCCAAATGGCTTTGCTACAAACCTAGGAAACAAAGCCTGTGTTTTCAGAGCTTTCTCAATTGAGATATTGTAAACAAAGGACTGTGGACATGCAAAGAAAATTCAGAAAGATGAGAGAAAGCGTGATTCCTTGGCCTGATTCCTAAGAGCTGGATTTTGTAGGTAGGTCTAAAGTGGGGTGTAGGAATCTAGCAGGCCCCCAGAACGCTCTGATGAAGGGCATCCTTGGGACCACCCTAGAGCAGCCCTACCTCACAGGATAGGATAGGGACCCTGTACCCTTCATGAGAGTGGACTTTGCTTCCCACACGCCCCAGAAGCTGGACTCTGATTTTGCATAGGTAGGTTCCCCTGGGAGGGTCTGGAGTGTTCATTTAGTTTCCAGAGGTTCCTTCATCCAGAGATGGCCGTTGCTCTGGTGGGATATGGGCATTAGTCTGGAAAGCCGTGCTCACCCACAGCAGGCTGGAGAGGCGTTGTGGGTAGCAGGAAGTCCTGGTCCACAGTGGCGGCCTAGGTGTTCCTCCAGGTCAGAAAGAAAGCCCGCCCTCTAGAGGCCTCCTCTGCTCTGTGCCACCCTCCCTGTGGCAGCCCTGGAGCCATTCTGAGCCCCAGCTTGCCCCCTAGAGGCAGAGAGAGTGACAGCCCTGGGAGTTTAGCCTGGAGCCGCTGAGGGGGCGGGATCCTAGAGTTTAGGATTGAGGGGCATTACCCCCTCCCCATGACCTGCAACTGACGGCACACCCACAAGTCTTCAGATCCTGCCAACTCCAGAATCTTCTGGAAAACGAACGAATTTGAAACAGGGAGGCCGCGGAGAGGCCATTCCCCTCCAGAATCCCTACTGGAGGCAAGTCCTTGTTTGGTTGGGAGCAAAGTGTCCTGCTTGTTCTCTGAGGACATTCGACCCCAGTGCCTCGCCCTCGTGCTGCGTTCCCCTAGCCCACTCCTCATGAGTTTTGTCTGTGAGCCCCCTCTCTGGGCTTCCTACAGGTACATGGAGTTCTTCCCCATCCCCTCCAACACCACCTCTGACTTCTACTTTGAGAAAAGCGCCAACTACTTTGATTCAGAAGTGGCACCCCGGCGGGCAGCAGCCCTCTTGCCCAAAGCCAAGGTCCTGACCATCCTCATCAACCCCGCGGACCGGGCCTATTCCTGGTACCAGGTGAGTGGGACTGGGGTGGAGTCCCTGTGTGGGGGACACAGGGCTCCATCTGACACTCAGTTACTCACTCAACGGATGTTAGTAAGCACCTACTGTGTGCCAGCCCTGAGCCAGGTACCTGGAGCATGGTGGTGGCTGAGAACAGAGTCCCTGGTGGAGGAGACAGGTGGAAATGGAAAGCCAGCCACCAGTTAACTGTCCACCCTCCTAGTGTCATGCGGGGTCCTGCCTCTGATTCTGACACTGACAAGAGGTGGAGGCTGGTTACACCTTGAGGAAGCTTAGATTTGGTGAACAGCGATGCAGGATCATACTGACTGTAGCTTCCTCGCTGGACACGGGTGGGAATGGGAGCTCAAGGAAGGACAAGACACAAGACTGCCATTCACAGTGGAGAAGGCGGGCACCTGACCAGGTGAGGCAGTTACCTGGACTGTGATAGATGAAGAGGGTGTGGAGCCGAGCCTCTATCTGGGACATGTATGATCCAGAGCTGTCTTTTTTTTTTTTTGAGACAGAGTCTTGCTCTGTCGCCCAGGCTGGAGTGCAGTGGCACGATCTCAACTCACTGCAACATCTGCCTTCCGGTTTGAAGTGATTCTCCTGCCTCAGCCTCCTGAATAGCTGAAATTTATAGGTGTGCACCAGCACACCAGGCTAATTTTTGTATTTTTAGTAGAGACAGGATTTTACCATGTTGGCCAGACTGGTCTCAAACTCCTGAAGTCGTGATCTGCCCGCCTAGGCCTCTCAAAGTGCTGGCATTACAGGAGTGAGCTGCCGCGCATGGCTGAACCAGAGCTCTCTTTAATGCCTATGGCCTGACTTAATTTCCTGCCTGCCAGCCCACGGAGCCTGCAGGAATGCTTTCAGGCCTTCCCTGGTGGGGTAGGGGTGTCCCTCCCCTGGCTGCCAGCATTCCTGTGATTATGCCACACAGCCAAGAACTGTGATTCAGAAGTGGTGCCCCAGCAGAAAGCCACCCTGTTGTCCAGGCCAAGGTCCCGAGCATCCTCATTAACCCAGCAGACTAGGCCTGTGCTTGGTGTTGGGGAGGGGGTGGGGCCCTGGTCTTATAGCCCATGGTTGCCAGAGAAGTGTCCCCTGTCCTGGCTGGGACAGCCTCTTCAGGCCTGGCCTGACCCACCACTTTGAGGCTCTTTTCTCGGATGTGACAGTGGCTGCCTCCCGCCTGGGACCTCGTAGTCTCGTCCATGAGGCTGGCACCTGCCTCCTCTTTGCTTCCATGGAAGTGTCTCCTCCTGCCACTCGCTGAGGCTGGTGGGGAAGCCCCTTCTTACTCTTGTTCTCTAGGGCTTCTGTTTATGCCCTGATGTCTGCTTTCCTGTGGCTTTTTCTTTAGGAGAAGAAAACCGAGAAACCCTTGTCGAGTGTTTCTGTTTTCTGCCGTGCCGTGCCCCCGCCTCCTGGTGCTGTGCAGGGAACGAGCAGTCTGCTTTCATGGGGGAAAGTAGGGTGGAGAGGGAGCCGCCACAGGTTGGGTCAGTCCCTGTTCTGCACTGACACTGCTGTACATCTGCCACCTCACTGGAGAGGCAGAGGAGGGGTTTCATGTTTGTGTCCCCTTCTCAAAGATGAGAAAACCAAGTTTCAGCAAGTTTCATGTGGTGGCATTTGAATCCAAGTCTTCTAAATCTAAGACCCTATTCCTTTTTCTGTCCATGGTCAAGAGGGGTAAGGGAGAGAAGGAGAAGGGAGACTCATTGTCCCCAGGAGGACCTGGGAAGGTACTGGAGCAGAGGAGGGGCAGTGGCCTATCTCAGAAGGAGGTTGGGATGAGGAGGAGGCTGCTGTGCACCATATTGTCTTGGCCCGGGCTGTGTGTGATCCTCAGGGGAGGGGATTGGCGGCTGGGGGGTAGTGCCCGTTGCACAGGTGCCCGAGCTCTGAACTTCTGGACTTAGTGAATTCTGCAGATTCGGACCTCCCATGGCATTATTTTAGGTGGTTCAGACCAGCCAGTCTCCCTTTTATAGTTCTTTCCCAATCCTTCTGATTTCCATAAAGGAGAAATGCTCACTTTAGTGCAAGTGGTCTTTTGGCCTTTCTAATACTACCAACCTCTTCTTTCAACAAAGAAAGCAAGTTCAGGGCCTGTTGCAGACATTTGTGTCTGGCTGGAGTTTGAGAACATTGCTTTGTTTTTATTGCATTTATGAGTAGTTGCCTTCTATATATGACAACAGTGCAGCGGCGTGATCTCGGCTCACCACAACCTCAGCCTCCCGGGTTCAAGCGATTCTCATGCCTCAGCCTCCCAAGTAGCTGGGACCACAGGCGTGCACCACCATGCCGGCTAATTTCTGTATTTTTAGTAGAGATGGGTTTTGCCACATTGGCCAGGCTGGTCTCGAACTCCTGACCTCAAGTGATCCACCTACCTCAGCCTCCCAAGTTTCTGGGATTACAGGCGTGAGCCACCATGCCCGGACTCAGGAAACCCTGATTTAGTCCAGCTCCCGTATTTCGAAGATGGAGAAATTGGGGCTCTGGGAGCAGTGGCTTCCCCTGACACAGGACACAGTGAGAGGCAGAGCCAAGACTCAGACCCAGAGCTTCTGGGTCCAGCTGAGGATCTTCTGGTCACCCTGCAGGTTGCTGTCCCTCTGAGGCCACTTCCTTTGTGCCCTCCATGTGGCATGCTGACCCTCTTTCCTTGCCTGCAGCACCAGCGAGCCCATGACGACCCAGTGGCCCTAAAGTACACCTTCCATGAGGTGATTACGGCCGGCTCCGACGCATCCTCGAAGCTGCGTGCCCTCCAGAACCGCTGCCTGGTCCCCGGCTGGTACGCCACCCACATCGAGCGCTGGCTCAGTGCCTATCACGCCAACCAGGTAGCTGCCTGTCCCTGACCCTTGTGAGGGCAGTCGCAGTACTGGCTTGCTGTGGTTAGCGGAGAGCCTCCAACTCTTTCTCACCAGCCACGGGGACAGATATGCCCTCCTTGGAGAGCTAGACCCTTGGGTCTATAAAAATATTTTATTATTATTATTATTATGTTGAGACAGGGTCTCACTCTGTTGCCCAGGCTGGAGTGCAGTGGTGTGATCTCAGCTCACTGTAGCCTCGATGTCCCGAGCTCATACAATCCTTCCACCTCAGCCTCCTGAGTAGCTGGGACTACAGGTGTGAGCCACTGTACCCAGCTACTTTTTTTTTTTCTTTTAAGAAACAAGGTCTTACTATGTTGCCCAGACTGGTCTCAAACTTCTGGGCTCAAGCAATCCTCCCTCGGTCTTCCAGAGTGCTGGGATTACAGACGTGAGCCACTGTACCTGGCCTAAAAAGACTGTAGACCTGTTTACCCCAAGGTTGAACTCCCCAAGCCTGTGTCCCATCACCATAGACCCTGTAGCCCTAAAGGGACCCAGAAAGCCCTGAGGCAGGCAGGTGGGAGTAAGGAGCCTGGGCGTGGTGAAGTAGGGAGAGGCTGATTGGAGGGTTGGGCAGGAACCCAATTATACCAGCTATGTATTTATTTATTTATTTAGAGACGGAGTCCCGCTCTGTCTCTCAGCCTGGAGTGCAGTGGCATGATCTCGGCTCACTGCAACCTCTGCCTCCCGGGTTCAAGCGTTTCTTCCACCTCAGCCTCCCAAGTAGCTGGGATTACAGGCATGCGCCACCACGCCCAGATAATTTTTGTATTTTTAGTAGAGACGGGATTTCACCATGTTGGCCAGGCTGGTTTTGAACTCCTGACCTCAAGTGATCTGCCCACCCCAGCATCCCAAAGTACTGAGATTACAGGTGTGAGCCACCGTCCCCGGCCATACCAGGCCTTTTAGGCAAACTTGTGGAGTGTTTGAGCAGGAGAATGACGTGGACTGGAAGCTCAGAGAGAGGCCAGAGAGGGACATTTGTAGGGACCTGAGGGGCAGGCAGAGTTTTGGTGAGAGCTTAAACTCTAGGAGAAATGGCATTGGGCAGCAGAAGCTGGTGGAAAGCAGGCATGAGACCACAGAGGCCTGAGCTTGGGGATACCTGCCCTTCAGCGGGGGAGGAGGAGCCAGATTCTAGAGGGTGCAGGGTCCTGTATTTATAAGCAGGCCCGTTCCTGCTGCTGTGGCTGTTGCCCTTGTTTGCCACCGAAGTCAAAGCAGGTCCCGATCCCCTTTCTCCCTTTCCTCCTTTCCAGATTCTGGTCTTGGATGGAAAACTGCTACGAACAGAACCTGCCAAAGTGATGGACATGGTGCAGAAGTTCCTTGGGGTGACCAATACCATTGACTACCACAAAACCTTGGCGTGAGTGTTGCGTTTACATTTTTGCAGGTTATTTCCCTGATTAGGCACCTGGGCCAAAAAAGCCGAAGGCTTGAATAATTATGAGAGAGGTTAATTAGAGTCAGCAAGTATGAAAAGTTATTAATATGACTTAAGTCATATTAATAAAGGTATCACTTTAAGAAAAAGGGAGGTGATGGATCTGTTCTACTCTGGTCAGACCATCCTGGGGTATTCTCTTTAGTCTGGGCTGAACATTTTCAGAGTGTTTTATGTAAGTAAATTAGATCAGTAGTGAAGCAGCCCCAGTTCCCACAAGGTTTTCTTAGCATTAGGTTTTTTTTTTTTTTTTTTTTTTTTGAGACATGGTCACTCTGTTGCCTAGGCTGGAGTGCAGTGGCATGATTTTGGCTCACTGCAACCTCAACTTCCGAGGCTCAAGTGATCCTCCCGCCTCAGCTTCCCAGGTAGCTTGGGACCCCAGACATGTGCCACCATGCCTGGCTGATTTTTGTATGTTTTGTAGAGAAGGGGTTTCACCGTGTTGCTCAGCCTGGTCTTGAATGATCTGCCTGCTTCAGCCTCCCAAAGTGCTGGGATTACAGGCATGAGGTACCGCCCCCAGCCAGCATTAGATTTTGACTTATAATTTCAGGAAAAGGAAACAAATGTTGTTGACGGTTAATAACCTTACTCACTCAGAACGTGGTGCAAGTGCGTTGAGAATGCCCTCCCGCTGTGAGTAAGTGCCTGCCCACATTGCATGGGCTCAGGGCTGGGAGAGGCTGCTTTCTTGTGCTATGTCACAGATAAGTGACACACTCAGCTGAATGAGGGGACCTGCAAGAGGAGGAATCAAGTCACACTCCCTGGCTCCATTCTTGGGAAAGTCTTGCAACAAGAATATTCCCTCTTCACTGTCGTGGGAGTTGAAGGTAGAAAAGGGAAGTCAGTCCTTCACCTTGAGGGAGAAAGGGCCACCTGCTGAGGCTGTGGGCCATGGTGTCAGAGATGCCTGGGTTAGGGCCCCACATCCATTTCCTCAGCCTTTCAAGCCTCACTTTCCTCATCTGTAAGTTGGGGATAAAGATAATCCCGGCCTCCTGAAGGTCATTGAATTGAATGAAAGCTTCATGTGGGGCTCTTAGTACATGCTTGGCATGCTCTTAGCTGAGTGCTTGGCACACACTAAGTGCTAAGTAAACGGTAGCTGCTGTTGTCCTTGTCATCATCATCATCAATATCATCACCATCGTCTATATCTATCCTGTGACCCATTCAGAAGTCTCTGTTCTCCTCTGCTGTTCATGGGAATTCTGTTTTCTTGATGACCTCATGCTCAAGGATCTCCTCATAGTTCCTGATCTAAATTCTGATGTCAGTATTCCTCCCTTCTCATAACAGCTTCGGATCTCATATCCCAAAAATGCCTTTGATGACAGGATGGTGTTGGCAGTCTTGCTGTGTCATTTCTGAAGTTTACTCCAAAAAATGAAACTCTCCAGTGATAGGCATGCTTAAGTGTAGCTGTGGATACTGCATGTTTTGATAAAGACGAAATTTATTAAAAAGCAAAAGAACCTCCATTAAATGCCCCCCTCCCCCATGGACGCTGGGAGGTTACGGTAAAGAAGGCTTCTTGGGTTTAAAAAAAAAAAAAAAAAAAGAAGTTACTCAGCATTGAGAATGCTCAGAAAAGATTTCCCAGAACATTGAAGGATGGGAAGCTGTTCACGTAGTAGCTTGCTGAAGGGACTGTGGCTGCTTGGGCTGGAGAAGAGAAGACTCAGAGTGTGTGAGCTGCCCTTTGCCGGGAAGTAGGGCAGGCACGTTTAGTGTAGCCTAGGACACATTTGGTCCCACAGATGGCACACAGCCCCTGACAGTCCTTGTGGGTTCAGGAGCAGTAGATTCCCTGGACTCAGCCATTCCTGGGGTCCATGAACATAGCTTTAAGGTGGGAAGTGGGTGGGCTGAGCCAGCTCCCATCCAGAGACTTTCCCACCTCCGCAGGTTTGATCCAAAGAAAGGATTTTGGTGCCAACTGCTCGAAGGAGGAAAAACCAAGTGTCTGGGCAAAAGCAAGGGCCGGAAATATCCCGAGATGGACTTGGATGTAAGTGGTGGACGCACTACCTATGGTATCTGCATAAGCATAAGGGATCCCTGTATGGGGTTGAGGGGGGTTCTCTTCCCTTTACCATGCACTCAGCACATTCATGGCCTTAGCATTTCTTGGACAGTATTTGTAAGAGGAGGAAACAGGGACTGAGACATGGTGGGTCAGAACTGATTTCATCAAACAAGTGTTGGTTACCTTCTACTAAGGGCTGAGTGCTGTGGGGTTTTGACGATGAGCCAGAGATGTTCTCTGCTTTCAAGGAATTCCTGGCCTTGGAGGGGGATGAGTCCCAACACCAGTGAGTAGAATACAGGCAGAGAGTGCTGCGCGCAGTCAGAGAGGGCACACGAGTGCTATGGGAATTCAGAACAGGGGAATGTCACTTAAAGCTGAGAGGGATAGAAAGGCTCCTTAAAGGAGGGATGGGGGTCTCCGGAGTTGCGCCTAGAAGGATGAGATCCATTTTATAGGATTTGGACTTATGGAATGGGAGGGTAGGTAAGAACAGCATGTGTAAAAACATAGGGGGAAGTTTTAAAAAATATATAGGAAAAAGGTCACAGACTGTGGGTCTTGTTATTTCCTCCTTCTGTTTTTTTTTTTTTTGAGACAGAGTCTTGTTCTGTTGCCTAGGCTGTAGTGCAGTGCCATGATCACGGCTCACTGTAGCCTCGATCCCCTGGGCTCAATCGATCTTCCCGCCTCAGCCTCCCATGGTGCTGGTATTATAGGCGTGAGCCACTATGCCTGGCCCTGCCCTGCCTCGGGTTTTGATGATTAATTCTGTCTCCTCTCCCTATCAGAAGAATTTTGACCTTGTGAGATGTATTTTGATGCTCCTGCCAACTGGGAGTTCCCGATTGGAGGCTACCATTTAGAAGGATATTGTGGATAAATAAGAAGTGTATAGAGGGTGGTGCCAGAGGCGTGGTGTTTGTTTTTTTTCTTTTGAGACACAGTTTTGCTCTTGTCACTGAGGCTGGAGTGCAATGGCGTGATCTTGGCTCACTGCAACCTCCGCTTCCCGGATTCAAAAGATTCTCCTGCCTCAGCCTCCTGAGTAGCTAGGATTACAGGTGCCCACCACCTCACCCAGCTAATTTTTGTATTTTTACTAGAAACGGGGTTTCACCATGTTGGCCAGGCTGGTCTTGAACTCCTGACCTCAGGTAATCCACCTGCCTTGGCCTCCCGAAGTGCTGGGATTACAGGCATGAGCCACTGCGCCCGGCCGAGCATGGTGATTTTAAAGAGGAGGTCACTCTTAAGTCAGCACGCAAGGTCTGAGCTTTCCTTCCCGTTACAGTCCCGAGCCTTCCTGAAGGACTATTACCGGGACCACAACATCGAGCTCTCCAAGCTGCTGTACAAGATGGGCCAGACACTTCCCACTTGGCTTCGAGAGGACCTCCAGAACACCAGGTAGCCGCGGCCACCACAGCCAGACTGAAAGTTTGTGACAGCCGGGACGTCCCGCCACGCGCTGAGCCAGACTGACCTGCAGAGTGGGAAGCTGGGCCCGGGCGGCCACGTACTTACGAGCAATACTCTGTGGAGGCCTAGTGGGGCCGGGGGAGCACCCAGGTGGGTCTGCAAGCGCCTCGGAGCACCCACCGCTGGGTCTGTGGCCTACGGGACCTCCCTCGCCAGCAGAGGTCCATTCCGTTCCCAGCCGCTCCTGGGGAGGTCGCTTCCTGGTAGGAGGGCGTCCACGAGGCTCTTTTCTGTCCCTCACTGTGTTCCGCCGACCGTCCCCTCTCGTCACCCATCACTCCCTGCTTCCGCAGGGTGCCCCTCAGTATTCGCTGCCATATGTCCCTGTCCTCCAGGCTGTAGGGGAGGAGAGCCTGGCGGGGGGAGACAGACTGGACATTTCTCTTACTGTTTCGAGCCAGGCTCTTCCAAGTGGCCAGCTGGGTCCCCAGAGTCAGTCCTAGGCTGGATGGGAGGGTGGCCACCTCGAGAGGACTCCCAGCCTCCACATCTGGTTCCTACCTTCATATCTCACCCTCCCGTTCTGGGGAAAGAATCTCTGGTTCCTACAGTATCCACCCCATCCTCAAGGCTTCCCATGGGGCCTTGGGGCACTGCCTTGCCATGGGGCCCAGTTCTCTGGGCCCCACCTGCACCCCTTTCTTCTCCCTGGGATATGACATGTGTGGTGTTTCCTGTGGTAAAAGACTGAGGCAGGCCAGGGGTCTGCCAGTAACATGTTCCCATGTACAGATGCGGTCCCCACACCCTCCCAGCCTCAGGCCCAGGCAGACGTGGATGAGCTGGCGAGACTGCCGGCTGTGGCTTTGCTCGGCCACCTGTGGCCGAGGGCTCCCAGAGACCCCCTTAACCTCCCATATACTAAGAAGCTAAAGTATTTTAATATTTTGGTTTTTTTTTTCTTGGTGCCAGAGTTTATACCCTGGGTGCTGGGGTCGCACTGTGTTATATATATATATAATGTGTATATATATATATTCTATTTTTTTTGGTTGGGTTTGTTTTTAATTCAGTCATACAAAGTGGTGGTAAGCCCCAGTCTCAGGGGGCGTTCTGTCTTAGAGCTAGAAATGAGGTGGCAGGGAGGGAGGCTGTGTCCTCAGTGGCCTGGGGCCTGAGGAGACAGTAGGAAGGGGCCCTCCCCAGTGCCATGGCTGCTCTGGGGCTACCCCAGGTGAACAGAGGTTGTGAGATGCGCAGGGAAGACCAGCTCTCTCCAGGACATTGGGCTGCGTGAAGTCCGGTAACCCTGAGGGGATTTTGGCCAAAGGAAACAGCCAGTGCTGGGCTAGGAGAGCTGGGGTCAAAAACTGGCCCACCCCCTCTCCCTCAATGGTGCTAGGCTGGGAGCTGCCCTGAGAGCTGGAATGCCCACCAGGGCCCACAGAACTGTCTCCAGGCCCCTTGTGGACAGTGGGATCTCTGGGCTGATTTCTGGTTGGGGTCTGCTCCTACCCCACCCCGTATAACAATGTGAAGTGACTGAGGCTGAGGTGCCTCTCCCTGGCCCCCTCTGACTGCCAAATTCTGCTTCCCTCTGACCCCCAGGAAATACTTTCTAGAGAGCCTTGTCTTATTCAGAAGACTCTAGCATCTTGGGGCTGGAAGGTCCTTTGACGGGTATGAAACAGGTCCAGAAAGCGGAGGTGGCCTGCTTGGCCGATGTCATGGAGACAGCTGGGAGCAGGGCTGGGCATTGAACCCAAGGCTCCCGGTTTCAAGTCCCGTTGTGCTCTTCCAATGCCACACTGCCTCTGAGCCCATCCTTGGGACCCTACTCTGTGCCAGGTTCCTGTCCCTTCCTCCGTCACACCATGGTCATTCCAGGATATGGGGACAAACCACTCCTTCCCAGCCAGGGTGCCTTTGAACCTTCTCATTCCGAGGTCTGCGTTTGCATCCCTGTCGTGTTCTCCCGCGAGGGGTCCTTCCCCAGCCTGTGGGGGCCTGGGTCTGTTCTGAGCTGATTCCCTTTTCTCCAGTTCACTGCTGGGATGAAGAAGTTGGACACTGAGTGGGACCAGCTGCAGGTGGTTTCATGGTGTACAGAGCAGTGTCTCCATCATGCCTCTCAATGGGGCCTGCAAGCCTGGGAACCTTGGGCATTGTTGGGCCAGCAGGGATGAGCAGCAAAGGGTCTGAGGACAGGGTGGCATGTCTGCTTGTACACTCGTGAAGACTTGCCCATGCCATGGAGCCAGGGGCTCCTAGAGAGGGGCAGTGACTTCCAGAGTCCCATCCGTCAGTGAGGGGACCGGGCTGCGGGATGGGTGAGGATCTTACAGCTCCCAGGTTCTGAAATCTACCCTCTGGGCCTGGAGGCCTCTGTCACAGAGCCTGGAAGGCAGGAGAGGTGGGCTGGCCTGGGGCAGGAGCTCCACTTCTCTCTGCCTCTGGCTGTGGGAAGGAGCAGGCAGTTGGAAATCCTGTGACAACAGAGATCTTCTGGATTTTTGCCTGGGCCCTTCTGCGAGCCTGGGGACTGGACCTGCCATGTGTTCTAAGTCTGTCTGCCTGGGTCACTGCTGCCACCTCCCCTCCCACTAACAGACCTTTCTTGAAGACCCACTAGGCCCAGACACTGCCGGGACTTGCAGGTATGGGGGAGTAGAAGGAGAGGCAGATAAGCTGCCTGAGGGGCTGTCAGCTAATGGGTACACGGACACCCCCTCCCGAGAAGAGAAAGCCACAGATGAGTGGGGCAAGCGAGGCCAGTCTTCAGTGTCCACCAATTCACTCTAAGCATTTGGCCAAAAAAAGGGAGAGAGAAATAGCTGAAATTGTTCAGGTGGCTCCACCATCTATTCTGTGGTCCCCTCCGTGAGCCTTTGCCCCAGGGTGGGTGCAGGTGCGAGTGTCACCTGCAGTTGCCTGTCATTCAGGGTTCCGGAGCCTCCTGTGGTAGAGCGTCCTGCTTCTTGGAGGATGAGTCTGAAGTTTAAAAATGGGCCTTTGCTGAGTCCCCCGATGAGCAATCAGTGCTTCTGGGCCCAGCTAAGGAAGCCATCTGTTCCCAGCAAAGGAGTACTGCTGCGCTGACCTGCAGAGGCTGGTGGTCCCAACACAGAGCTGTGCCCACTGGCTTGTTAGTGGCAAGAGCAAGTACAAAAATGTTTTACCAAACATTTAATTATGAATGCCCACTCCCCAGCATCTATATCTAAAATTATTAACATTTTGCCACATTTGTTTTTCTCTGTCTGTGTACATATATATTTTCTCTGTCCTAATTTAAAAGTACATTGCAAACACCATGAAACTTGAGGCCTGAAAGCTTCAGCCTGCATCTCCTAAGCATTAGGGCATTCTCCTACACATTGGCCCAGTATCACAGCCCAGACAAGAAGTCTGCTATCCAATCTGTGTTCAAATCCCCCTGGTTGTTTCCCAGGTAACTTATGTCTGGTTGTAGAGTCAGCGTCCAGTCGCAGTGCAAACTGCATTTTCTAACTATGTTTCTAAAACCCCTTTGAATGCTGAAAGGTCTTCCCTCAGCTCACTTTGAGGTTTTAAATGATGTTGTTTTTGAGGCCCTCGGCCTGCTGTCCTGTTGAAGCCCCAAATTCTGAATTTGTCAGCTGGTTTGCTCATGGTGTCACATAACCACTTCTTCTATCCCCTGTACTTTCAAGGATAATTTAGGCTACATGAGACTTTGCCTTTTGTGCTGGCTTGACAGCTTCACTTCTGCCTAAGGTGCGCCTCCACTGTCACCTGTACCAAGTGCCAAAACAGCAGAGGGGCAGTTAGAGCAAGAGCTCTGGGGAGGGCCCGGAAAGGCTCCCTGGAGAAGGCCGCAGTATCTGGGCCTCGGAAGGAAGGACTCAGGGCTCTGGAAGGAGGAGGCTGCATGCCTGAAGGCTGGGCCATCGACCCTGGGGATGGGCCGCAGGGCACCAAACACATCATATGTCTCTCTCTTTCTGTTTTGGGGTCCCAGGGTTCTCATTTCCTGGAGGCCCATGGTCTGTGTGCACTGGAGCAGAGCCAGGCTCTGGGACGCAGCAGGGAAAAGCCTACCGGGGGAACTGCCTCCCACAAGCTGTGGTGTGAGAAGAGCCCTGGCTGGCAGCAGGAGCTGTGAAATTTCATCCCAGCGGGGTGCATTTAGTGACTGCCTGACCATCTTCCTCCCAGGCCCTCAATTTCTTCATCTGTAGAATGAGCAGATAGGGGCCACGGCAGGGGTTTTCACACATCCAAGGAGGCAGCTCCGCTCTACTTGATGTGAGGATGAGGGGGGCCTAGACCCCCTGCTGCCCAGGCCCTTGAGGCAACACTGGGTTCCTGGCTTGACAGCTCTGGGCTGGCTGCCCTTGCCAGCTCAGACGGCCAGAGAGTTTTCAGCTCCCCCAGGGAACGGGCATAGGGTTTGTGTGGGGTCAATGCCAAGAACCTGGGGGAAACTGGCTGCATTTTATCCTAAGAAGTTCATCCCTCCTACTCTTCTTCCTCTTTCTGGCCGTGGAGGAGAATGAGGGAGGAGAGGCTTTTCTATGACTGTGTTAGCTTTTATTATTAGCAAGAGGGCTCCTTTTGTAATTTGTGCATGAAATTCATGTCATTTCCTGGGAGAGGAGAGGGCCAACTGGAGAGGGTGGGGGGCACATTGGGGAAGCAGGCAGAGGTTTCCTTCCCTTGTAGGGGGGTGGGGAGAGTGGGGGAGAGGGGGTGCTACCCAGTTCGCCTGATGAGGGCTCTCGAACCAGCCGTTTTGGGTTGTGTTAAAAGTGAGACCTTCCTCCATTAATGTACAATCTCGAACTAACTGCTAATAAAGTGGGGTTCTGTTTGTACACCTTGGTCCTGTCTGTCTGACCTTTTTGCAAGGCCTGCAGGGGAGGGTGGAGTAGGGGTGTTTGCATGCATGGCCAAAGCCCACTTGTCCCCGCCACCTCAGGCATGCACACGTGCCCACACGTGTGCACTCACATATGCACATGGTGACTTGGTCAGTGCAGATCATTTCCACTGGGTTATGAATGGAAGATTTCCCAGATAGAGGAGAGGCCTATCCTGGGGCAGCCACAGGGGGCATCTCAGATCATGAGCCCTCAGACAAGCTGGATTGCACAGAAGCCCTGGGGGTCGGGCACTGGACCGAGAGGAGATTTGGGAGCTGGAACCATTTCTGCTACTAATGTATATGGTAGCTGGGGGGCAAGCCACTTTTACTGTTTTATCCCATTTCCCTTACCTTTTAGATGCATGGAGGGAGTTGGACTCTGTGGCCTCTCTTGAAGAACTTGCCTAAAAAATACAGATTCCCAGGTCCACTTTCAGAGATTTAACTCCAGCAGATGTGGGATGGGGCCCAACATCTTTAAGGAGCCCTCCAGTACACTGAGGAGTTTTTAACGAGCCCTCCAGTACACTGAGGCAGCCCAGTGTAACTCGGGCTCACAGTGGGAAACTCTGGCTCAGATCCATGGTTCCTGTGGGTTCTAATTAATGTGGAGAGCCCCACTGTTCAGGAAAACGTAGGGTAAAACAAATGACTTTGAAGCCCTCACAGCCTAATTGAGGGCCAGACTCGAGATTTGCCTGGAGAAGGAGAGTTATCACAGGTAGGGGCCCAGGCCAGTGTCTGCAGTGCAGGTGATCAGACCTGCTCCTTCAGAATGCCCTTGGGAAGATTGAAACAATATACATTCCTGGGCTCCCCCAAAATCTGCTCACTCAGGACCTCTGACGTGGGACTCAGCACAGTGTACTTTAACAGACTCTTTGGTGTTCAGGGAAGTTTGGGAACGCCGAATCAGGCCGCCATGTATGTCAGAGACGGTACCCAGAAATGTACACAGGTTCTGAGGGGCAGAGGAGGGGCATGCTGGAGACGCAGCTGGGCAGTCCTGCTTCCCAGAACCCAGTATGTTCAAAGTGAATGTACCACAATGCCACCTCTGATGGCACAAGGGCAGCACCTGCAGAGCCCTCTTTGGAGTTCGTCAGCTGGGAGCTTGGTTTGGGTCGGGTGGCCCTCACCAGCAAGAACACAGCTGGGGGCTGCATGGGCAAGAGCAGATCAAGAGGCATGGTGCAGAAGGGTGATTGTGCCAGCTGAGGGGTCAGCCTGCAACGGGGATTTTTGAATTTAAATACAGCTGAGATTCTGTTTTGAAAGAATCACTTAATTGAAAACCAGGTTAAGGTGGGGGTGCTCTCTGGTTGGAGTGGGAGTGAAGCTCTGGACTCCTCCCAGCTCACCTCCTCCCTGTCTCTCAGCCTATCTTGGAACCTTAGGATTTTTTGAAACACATTGTGAAAACCCAACCCAGTTGCTTCCAGAGGTCCCAAAATTCCTGCAGTTCTAACAGGCTGAATGAATAGCAACCCATCAGCCCCTCCTCACTCCCCACGGGGATGTCCACCCAGGAAATCTGGTGCCCCAGGAGTGGTTCGGGCTTCTAGAGGTGGGCAGTTCCCTTGGAGAAGCCTGGATTTTGTGTGTAGGGCAGTGTGTTTCATAATAGCAAAATGCTGGGAACAACCTAGATGTCCATCTACGGGGGATCAGCTAGGTGATCTCCGTTGTATCCATTCACTGTAACGATGATTCAGTTGAAAGTAATGAGCTCAGTCTCTAAGGCCTGCTGGGGAAATTTCTATGACAGACCTATACAATGTGACCGTCATGGAAAGAGAACACTACAGTTTGTATTTTTCCTGGGGTTGTAGATATATGTATCTCACATCAAACTGCTAGTAGGGGAGGAAAGACTGAGAAGGGGGACTTTCAAAGGGGACTTCAGCCTTGGCTGAAATATATATAAGACAAGGATAATGTATTTGCATATCATTTGTGGAATGAAAACGTCTTAATGAAAAACAGAAATGGACAAAGCGGAAAGGGGGACTCCAAGCAGCTAGAATTCCACGACCATGCGATGAAGGCCAACACGGCTTTACCCAGCCCTTAAGCTCTTATGGAGTTAAGGTCTGGAGAAGGCCTAGGGTGCCGGTGATGAATTTCTTGCCTTGCTGCATTTGCCCTAAGCATTCGTGAAGACCCTGAAGTGAGGAGCCTGACTTTCCTGTGACAGTAGGCCAGTCTTAACTCCTCTCTGGTACTGGGAGCTTGGCTTCCCTGAGCTGACAGACGGGGGAACTAGGGTTAATATCACCATTGCTGGAACAAACTGACACCATGTGTCTCCCAATATGATGCAATGGGAAGGACCCAGTGCAACACCTGGGAGATTCCTAACAAAAACACAGGACATGAATCCAGCCAAGGGGAACAGACAGACACATCCGTATTGAGGGCCATTTTGCAAAATAACTGGCCTGAACTCCAACAATGTCAAGGTGATGAAAGGTACAGAAAAGCTGAGAAATGGTTCAGGATTAAAGGATACTGGAGAGATGTGGTAATCAAATGCCATGTGTGACCCTGGAGGGTCCCGGACCATGAAACAATTTGCTATAAAGGATACCACAGGGACACCTAGCAGAATGTTAAGATGGACTGTGTGGATTAGATAATACTATTCAACCGATGTTCAATTTTCTGGTTTTGATTATTTTACTGTTATAAAAGAGTATCTAATGAAGTACATGTGAGCTATTAGTTTTTTGCAGTTACAAGTAATTGCCGCAATTACTTTTGCACCAACCTAGTATTTAGGGATAAAAAGGAAGAAATGGAACTGAATTTTGACTCCTGTTCTTTAATGGTACTAGATGATAGGTACTCATCAGATGCAGTCCAAAAAGTGTCCACCAGGGGGCACTATTATCCCAGCCTCTCACAGTGTAGTCAGCGTGAATGCCTCCCAGGCTGGTGGTTAATGGTGGTGTGGCAGTAATATTATCAATATTAATATCAATAAATTAAATAATATAAATAAAAAGTATTTCTTATCCTGTGTCAGGCAGACCCTCTGCTTATCAAGTGCTATCTTTAAAATTTTTTATTTATTTTTGAGACAGTGTCTCACTCTGTCACCCAGGTTGGAATGCAGTGATCTCAGTTCACTGCAGCCCGAAGCTCCTGGGCTCAAGCCATTCTCCCACCTCACCTTCTGAGTAGCTGGTATTACAGGCATGCACCACCACGCCTGGCTAATTTTTGTATTTTTTGTAAAGATGGGGTTTTGCCATGTGGCCCAGGCTGGTCTTGAACTCCTGGCCTGAAGTGATCCTCCTGCCTCAGCCTCCCAAAGCGCAGGGATTACAGGCATCAGCCACCTTGCCCGGCTCTTTTAATCCTCATAACAATCCTCTGAGGTAGGTATTATCATTCCCATTGTATATTTGAGGAATTTCAGTTCAGAGAGGTTAAGTAACTCTACCAGGATCACAGAGCTGGTAGTCATTGGCCCATGAGACTCCACAGCTTGGAGTCCACTAGACTGTCCTGCCCCCTGGGCCTGAGGCTGAGAATGTGTCCTGGCATAGAGAAGTGCCCATGAGGCCAAGTGGGGACAATTCACTGAGCCTGGCCCTGCCCTTTTCAGGGCTGGGGACTGGGTGGTCCTGGGAAGCTGTTAAAGGTGCCTAAAAGTATGTGCACCTACAAATCTAAAACAGAACTACAAACGGAATGGTGTGAGAAGCAAGTCTCCTTCCACTCCCTGACCTTTGTCCTCCAACTCCCTTCCTCAGAGGAAACCACCATTAGCAGTTTCTGTGGATCTTTCCAGAAATTGTTTTACATATACAAACAGTTGAGTGCACGTGCATGCCCTGCTGGTGTGTACCCTCAGGCTGTTCTGCACTGTGCTTTTCCGTGGGTGCCTCTGGTCAGTGGGTGGAAGGTATTTACTGCTGTGCATGGCAGCACAGGGCTCCTCTGCGTGGGTACTTGGGTGGAGGGTATTTGTTGCTCTGCATGGCAGCAGATGGAGGGCTCCTCTGCATGGGTACTTGGAGAAACTCTGTTCTATTACACCTTTCAGGGAGTGGGGGTAGAAACTGGAGCTTGAATTCTTTGGCCTTTGCCACATTCTGGGGTGTTCTCCCTTGGGAAGGAATAGACTGCACAGCACAGTAGTCAAAATATGCACGGCTGGATAGATCTGGTTTCAAATACAGGCTCAGTATTGGCTGTGTGACCTTGGTCAAGTACTTCATGTCTCTGGGCCTCAGTCTCTGCTTTCGTGAAGTGGGGATACTTACAGGACTGAGGCGATAGAGATGTTGTGAGGAGTGAAGAGACAGTGTCTGGAAAGCCCTCAGCAGGAGCCTTCTACACAGTGAGTGCTCAGTAAAGTCTTTGCCAGTTCCTGGTATCACACATATACAGACCCCATTTCTGAACCTGAGCCTGGGGGTGGCACTGCCACCTTTGTCCTGAGGCTGATGATGATCAGTCCTGGGCTGAGGAGTCAAGCGGCCCAGTCAATGTGGAAACTCATTACATTTGATTGTTCTTCCTGGGACCTTGAAATGGAAATGGTGGGTGATCTGGGGCACTGAGAATGACTCTTCAGAACACACACACACAACACCAACTTCACGGGAAAACAAGGAACACGAGAGACTGCTATAAGCAGCTGCATGTTAACAAATCAGATGCTCTAGATGCAATGGACAAATTCTTAGAGGCACACAAACGACCAAAACTGACTCAAGAGGAAATAGAAAATCTGAATAGACCTATAACAAGTCAGGAGATTAAATCGGTAATCAAAAAACGCCCAGCAAAGAAAAGCCCACCACCAGATGGCATCATCGGTGAATTCTACAAACCATTTAAAGGAGAATTAACATCAATCCTTCTCTTAAACTCTTACCAAAAATCTAAAGAGGAGAGAACATCTCCCAACTCATTCTGTGAGGCCAAGCATTACCT